CAAAGATATCAAAAATCCATTCACAGGTCTTCATCTGCTATGTATTTACATTATACAGATGAAGTTTGAGGCAAATCGGGTCAAAATAAAAGGGTGAGATCAAAGCATTTTGAAAGTGACACACTTCCTGCTACCAAATGGTGGCGCTATAACTTTGACTCACAATAGTCACATCCATGTGATCGTCCTCTTACAGCGAACAAACTGCTGAAGTTTCATCAAGATCAGTTAATGTATGCTGAAGTTATGACACACTTCCTGTTTCACGTTTCTCGCCATAATTTCGTTTCCTCGCCACGGCCAAACCGTTCGAGATATCAAAAATCCCCTCACAAACTTTCATCCTCAATGCCTTGACTTCATGCTGACCGAGTTTCGTGCCGTGTGTTTGAATTCTCTAGGAGGAGTACTTCAAATTCCATTGCGAGTGTTTTATGAACAACCCTAAATAACCGACTTCCTGTTGGGCTGGGGTAAAAAGTAATAGTATGAGGTATATATGAACGATGAGATCAACATGTGTACCGAGTTTCATATTATTACATACAAGCGTGTTTGAGTTATGGACCAAGTTTTCGGACCACGTTCCAGGGGGCGCTGTCTAGCCCCCCTGCCACGCCCGGGTACCATCTTCAGCCCGGCCCTGATGGCCGCGGGTTCTGACCCGTGTGCAAAGTTTCAAGAGTTTTTGAGCATGTTAAGGGCCCCAAAAGTGCCCGAATAGTCGTATAAATAATAATAATAATAATAAATATAGCTGCGAGCAGCGATTGCGGGCCCAAGCCGGTGGCACCGCAACCCTGATGCCTTTAGTTACCCAAAGGCACCGGGATGGTGGTACCGCCGGCTTTGGCCCTTTATCGCTGCTCACAGCTATATTTATATTTAATATAAAGCCGGTGGCACCGCCACCTTGGTGCCTTTAGGTTTATTCTGTACGACGTGTAAAAACGTAACCCCCGCTTTGACTATCAAAAAGAAGTGTATTGTAGAGCTTGCATCAATGCGGACTCGATGCGCTGTGCGCTGTAACTCCATGTGGCTTTAAGCGCATCATTCTCCACTCGGGATGCGCATAAGCGTTTTGTGCCACACTGTACTGAGCCTTTCATATCATAATGCAGTGACGCAATGACAGATTATTAATTGCCTTTCTTGTTCTGTTCCATCTATTATATGTTGATAATAGATAGGACAGAGCACTAAAAACCTCAAACAAAGCACTAAAAACTTAAGCTGTTTGCTGTGTAGTCTGAGAATGAGCTGTTTGATTTGCACCCTCTTCCTCTTCACTGTCCTCCATAAAAAATAGCTATCCAGGTCCATGTTGTTCTAGAAAGTTTGTATGTTGCTGCCTCAATTAACATCTCTGCTATACATTTAAAACATGGCTATATCTAAAATAATTTATCTTTTTGATTTTTGTCATCTTGTTTTTCATGAATATTTTACAACAATACAAAGAGCAATGTGTATTTTCCATTAATATAGTTTGTAATGGCTTTTTTTGTCATAGATTATAATCATATATTTTTTGGATTTGTTATTTATCTTTATAATGAAGTTGTCTGTATTAAGTAGATTGTGTTTAACACACACGAGTGATTTATTAGTTCAACACATAGTTATAGAAATTCTACTTTATCTAAAAAAAACCCTGCACTTTATACACACACACACACACACACACATAAATACATGTAAATAAAAATACCAAAAAAAAAACATCAAATGTGTTTTTAGTCAGAGTATTATTTTATACAGAAACAAATATTTGTAATTCAGATAAGAATGAAGTTAGTGTTTTAAAATCTTAAGGAAAACAAATATATTGAAATATAGCACATGAATTTTAAATTCATTCAACTTCAATTACAAATACAATCTTACTTTTATTTAAAGCAAACTATACATTTAAAAGATGGGGGTTATATGCCTATTTTGTCATTTAAAAATATTGTTATGCAAATTGTTATGCAAAAAGACAAGGACTTAGAGACAAGGACTTGTAGGAAAAATCGCAGCCAGCCACACACACACACATAAACACAGACAACAGCCCTCCCCTCCCCACACAGACACACACACACAGAGAGAGAGAGAGAGAGAGAGAGAGAGAGAGAGAGAGAGAGAGAGAGAGAGAGAGAGAGAGAGAGAGAGAGAGAGAGAGAGAATCGCAGGGGAAATAAATCCATTCAAACTACAATATCTGACTTTCTGTTGCTCAGAGCGAATGACTTTAAATTGGAAAGTTGATCGGCTTGACGAGAACAATATACATGGAAAGTTTTGTAACTGTAGGTAAAATGAGCAAAGTTATAACACACTTTATGTGTCCTTTTTTAGTCATAAAATTCATTTCCTTGCCACGGCCAGACCGTTCGAGATATCAAAAATCCGTCCGGAATTGAGCATCCTCAATGTCTTGACTTCATGCACACCGAGTTTGGTTGTGATTGGTAAACACATGCATTGTGATTTGATGTATTTCTCCTAGGACAATTATTCAAACAACCCATAATTCATAATTCATAAATAACTTCCATTTGAACTGTCATAAAACTTAGAGCACGAAAGTTGTTTGGCCTGATGTGATCTATAATTGTACTGAGTTTCATATTAATTCATGCAAGTGTGTTTGATTTATGGTCAAATGTTCGAATCCCAGTCCAGGGGGCGCTGTCGAGCCGCCCTGCCACGCCCGGTTACCAGCTTCAGCCCGGCCCTGATGGCCATGGGTTCTGACCCGTGTGCAAAGTTTCAAGAGTTTTCGAGGATGTTAAGGCCCCCGAAAATGCCAGAGAAGTCGCACACAGCAAATAAAGGGTTAAAATTAACCTGACAGGCGCCCCTCCTCTCACTCACACAGAGGGACACTGAGACACTGGCAAAATTCTGAGATTTTCTCTACATTCAAACAAACATATCTGACTTTCTGTGGGTCCTAGCTAATGAGTGTCAATTAGAAAGTTGTCCGGCTCGAGGAGTACAATATACATACCGATTTTTGTAACTGTAGATAAAACTAACAACCCCACTTTTGTCAAAAGGTGGCGCTACTGAGCCCTCACCACGCCCGTTTCTGAAACTTTGCACATGTCTACTGGCTAATAAATGTGATGTGTCTGTCGAGTTTCATGCAATTTAAAGCATGCTAAGGGTCTCAAAAGCATCCTAAAAGAATGGTAAAGTTTGATGCGTCGCCACGGCAACAGTTTCAAAGATATCAAGAATCCATTCACAGGTCTACATCTGCCCTATGTTTACATTATACAGATGAAGTTTGAAGCAAATCGGGTAAAAATAAAAGGGTGATTTCAAAGCATTTTGAAAGTGACACACTTCCTGCTGCCAGTTGGTGGCGCTATAACTTTGACTCACAATAGTCACATCCATGTGATCGTCCTCTTACAGCGAACACACTGCTGAAGTTTCATCAAGATCAGTTAATGTATGCTGAAGTTATAACACACTTCCTGTTTCACGTTTCTCGCCATGATTTCATTTCCTCGCCACGGACAAACCGTTCGAGATATCAAAAATCCCCTCGCAAACTTTCATCCTCAATGTCTTGACTTCACGCTGACCGAGTTTCGTCGAATTTGGATCAAAGCTCTAGGAGGAGTATTTCAAATACCATTGCGAGCGTTTTACAAACAAACCTCAATAGCCGACTTCCTGTTGGGCTGGGGTAAAAAGTAAGAGCGCGAGGTATAGATGAAACGATGAGATCAACATGTGTACCGAGTTTCATATTATTACATGCAAGCGTGTTTGAGTTATGGACCGAGTGTTCGGACCCCGTTCCAGGGGGCGCTGACGAGCCCCCCTGCCACGCCCAGGTACCAGCTTCAGCCCGGCTCTGATGGCCGCGGGTTCTGACCCGTGTGCAAAGTTTCAAGAGTTTTTGAGCATGTTAAGGGCTCCAAAAGTGCCAAAAAGGTAGTAAAATAATAATACTAAAGAAAAATAATCCTTAGGAAAACAATAGGGCCTTCGCCCTTTCAGGGCTTGGGCCCTAATAATCCTAAGGAAAACAATAGGGCCTTCGCCCTTTCAGGGCTTGGGCCCTAATAATCGTTAGGAAAACAATAGGGCCTTCGCCCTTTCAGGGCTTGGGCCCTAATAAAAAGCAGAATTTTGATCACTTGTCTCTGTCACTTTGGGGTTGACTCGAGATTTGAATGCAAAGACTGGAGACTTACTTGTGACTTGCAAAAAAATGACTTGGTCCCACCCACCTCTGCATATAGTGTTGACCAAACCTTTTTGTGAAGTGGAAAGGTTCCATGGATATTAAATGTTCTTCTCAAGAACCTTTAAGGAGTGCAAAGAGCCCCATCAAAAGACAAAGCTTTAATAAAGTCCTGTGAATAGTTTCTCAGAGTAAACGAACTGCAACAGCTCGTGAATGCATCACGGTGACAATGCATGGTGTGAATCGGTGGCGTTTGGTGCTTTTCGGACCCCCGCGTGAGTAACGCTTGTGCAGAGGCGCAGTTAAGCGCACTGTCATTTCAGTGTCAGCACACGCGCGCGCACACACGCGCGTTCACTCATTCAGACTGATGGAGACGCGCGCGTGCCTTTATGGATAGCGTTTCAGGTAAGACTCTCGAACGCGCTTAATTGGAGACACACTAGACTATATCCACTCGATTTCTTTTTCCGTTAACGAAAATGTCATATTATTTAAGAGCTGCCAGTCACGCAATGCGGTTCATTCTCACGTTATATTGCTTGATGTTATTCTGTCTGTTAAAACGCATTGAAATTTGGCTAGACAGATAGCTGATTATAATGTGGTAAATAAACTTTGAGCACCAAAATAAGCGCAGCTGGTGGTCAAAGAAAGGATCATTTGGCTATAAGGACTAAAGTACCTGCAGGACTTTGACCTGTTTACGATAGACTCAATGAAAGCACTTAGCTCAGGAGTTTGAACCAATAACGCGCAATAATTGATCTTAATGCTCTCATTGAAAGTGTGGGAACGAAAGGACAGCGAGGAGATGTCTCGCACACCTGTTTTCCTTGGATGGGTTTATCTTTCCCTTTAGGATTTAATGGCACATTTCAGATTGTTAAGAGGTGGCATTAAGGTAATGTGTTGATGAGCTCAAGTCAAATCTCTTTGTGTCTTGTCAAGATTGTATTTCAACAAGAGAGATAGGCTGTATATATAGCCTATATTTGTAATTGCTTTCAGCCTACTCTGTGAATTTGTCTTTTATGGTGCTCTATAAATTCCTCGTGCAGGCTGAAAATATCAAAGTTCATTTTGTGTCATCATTCAAGCCGAAGGATGTCTGGTGCTGTGTGTCATGAAAAACAGATATGTTTTTGTCAGATTTTAAAACCGATTCGTACAACTTTAAAGTTATATTCTGGGGGAATTGATTTTTGTCCTTCTGAGATATTGTTTTTTTTTTTCTCTCCTGATAAATTTGGATGGTTAGAGGCTATTTAGTTGCAACTGGCTCATACCTTATACTTACATGTTGGGATCTAGTTTTGCTACGAAAACACTGGCATCAGATATAATAACAGTTGTTTTTCCACCCTCTCTATCTCTCCTTCCCAATCTTATTTCTCACATCTTCTGTCAGTTGATATGTCACTGTGTTCTTCCACCCTTCTCCTTCCTCACCTTGTCTTTTTGTCACTTGGTTCCCATGGCTCCCAATGGCTCTTTTAAGAAAATTGTATGTCATTTTTATGTCATAAAATCATATTAGGCCTCAAATTGCGATGGGAGTAGTCCTGGATAGTAACCGTTTACATGCAATCTGGATTTCGGTATCTGATTCCAAAAATGAAGCACTTTTAAAATGTAAAATTCTCACAATCCCATTATACCTTTTATTGATTACATGATTACATGTTATTTTCACAATGACAGTGAATTATTAATACTTTATTGATTATCCATAAATTTTCCATTCTAAAAAACGTCTCATAATATGTTCAGAAAGTCTTTAGACCAGCCAGCCTGTCACTGAAAACTGAGACCCACACAGCATTTCATCACTGGACTTAGAGAAGTGTTTTCTAACATTGAAACATTACACTAATCAACTCCTGACGAACACTAATTATTATTTAAATTGTTACTCAGTGAGTCATTGAACCATTATTGCTGTCTTTGGAAGGCTTTCAAACACATTACAGTAAAATGCACAAATTCAAATTTCCTATTTGGTGGGATTCCCCAACTTTTTTTTCAGCTGAGCCTCTTTGACCTAATATATTTACTTGTTTTTTAATTATTTATTTTAATTATTCAATCACTTAATAGCTTTTCATTAAACTCACAAACCTCCTGCAGTTCCATCATGATCCCCAGTCTTGGAAACTCTGATGTAATTGTTGTGGATAACAAACTATAGAATTTAGTTTTGTTCTTTGTATTGTATCATTACAAGATTATCCTATTCAAATCAATGTAATAAATGAGTAAGGTCAAAACTAATCAACAAGTAGTTTGATTAATTTACTTTAAAAGTGAAATGTATTGGAATACGTTACTAACTTACAATTTTTTCAATGTAATTTGGAATCAGTTACCGACTACAATTTGTTCAAGTAGGCTACAAGTAATTGTACAAGTAATTTACCCAGCACAGAATAGGAGCATTTCATGTTTTCAGAAACTTGTTTAAGGCTCCTCAAAGTCTCAAATGTTTGAATGCCGTTTATATCAGCTTCTTTATGCGCACATTCTCAGTTTCTTCAATGGGCTCTGAAAGACCACAGTCGGTGACCTAATTATATTGTCATGGCAATGGCATTAAAAGCCTCTGCTGATGAATTCATTTCATAGTTTATTGAATCACAAAAAAAACACACAAAAAAAAAAAAAACTGGTCAGTACTGACAACAGTGCCATAATTGTTGACACTGTTGTCCCCTGTAGTCTAATTTTATCCCTAAAACCTTTGATCATCAAAATAACATTTCAAGTTTTTTCCTTGAAAAAGAAATCTTCATGTCTTAAAATAGCTTGAATGTAACTCTACTACACCCTTGCTTCATTTAGTATGCGGTTCTATGAAAATGCAAATTAGCCCCGCCTTCACTCCTTCACTCCAGCTCAGAGATCCACTCACTGTTGATCACAAATTGGCGCGATTGGTTATCTAAGGTAGTTTGGGACATCAGAAACTGCACCGATTTCAAACCCACATTTTTTAGACTGTTTTGACATGGATTGTTTTAAATCATATATTAAAAACACCACCTATATGTGTATATATATATATAAAAAACCATTAAAATCTTAATTTTCACCACAGGGGGACTTTAAAGGAATATAACAACGACAGTTCTGTCTCACACTCCTGGTCTTACAAAGCCTGTATGACTTTCTTTGTCTGATGAACACAAAATAAGATATTTTGAAGAATCTCCACACAACTTTTTATTTTTATTTTTTATATTCAACCGCAGTTCATAGTGTTAATGACTGTATACATGTATTTTATTGCTAAATGGCCAATGAAAGCAGTGGCAAATTTTACACACTGTGTAATTTTCCCATAAAACCTCAGTTAATTTATATATATTATTGTTATGGATAACATATTGAAAATGTTGTGACTATTGAGTGTATAGCGAAGCCTCATGAATAACAGTCTAACAGAATAACAGTCTCATATCCCATTCAAATTTAACTTTAATAATTTAACAGACTGTTTTAATCCAAGTGACTCACAAAAGAAAAAAGAGCTCTAAAAAGTACAAGCTGTTTGAAGCCATATGCTATTTTTGCACAAGGAACAGTTTAAAAATGGAGATAATTATTCAGTGATTTTCACTTTTGCTTCTCCATAACTTGTGCTGCAAGTTGATCATGGAGACAGTGTGTTGAACTTGATCTCAAACCAGATCAATCTGATTAATGAACAAATTGTTCAGTTTGATTTTGAAACTGGATCAATTGTGAACTTGGCAGCCATATTTGAAACGCCTCTCGGGCAGCTGTTTCAGTCTTGCAATTACAGCTCCTATCTTTTTGAATGGGGAAACAGCAAAGCTATTCTCCAAAGCTGTTCGCTAAGCTTACGATTCAATTACATATTTGAAATCGCCAATGAGCTCTGACTACAACTTGTCTCATACATTTTGTTTCTAAACTTTCAAATCATGACAAAAAAAAAAAAAAGATGACGCGGTGAGTTTATCAATTGGCGATAGGCTCTTATTTAGACATTTAGAAATATATGTAAATTGAATACTTATAATGCATCAAGAATCTTTAGCATTTTTATATTTTGTGTGTCGCAGAAAATAGCAGCATGCAGGTTTGGAACAACTTTAGGGTGAGTAAATCCGCAGTATTATTTTTGGTTGACCTGTGGACTGTCTACTGAGTGGACTACTGGCCTACTTAGGACAGTTGGGAATTAGCTTTGTGACCATCAACAATACAAGAAACAGAGAGGACACTACAAAAAAATAGGCCTAAATGTAACATTTTTGTAGCCTACACTGTAAAAAAAGAATATGATCAATAAGGTATGATATGTTTTTATATTACTTTAACTCATGAAAATAAGTTAAAGAATCCATGTGGTAAAAATTTATCAGCCAACACAATTGCTGAGTATTATCTAATTAAAACTTTGAAACCACCCCTGTTTCCTACTGTCACAGGTGTAACCAAAACCCATCGCGTAGGATGGGGCTTTTCCAGAACACCTGTAAAGAGGGGACAATAATATAGCAATATGATGTATATAACGATGTTATGAAGAACTATATGCCTTTCTCCACTGACGTTAGTTGTTCAAAGCATTTGAAATGTCGCTGATTTTTAGAAGGAATGACTCAATAAGGTAACATTAGCAAAACATTATTAGCTGTTTGATAACATAGTCAAGCCAAAGATAATCATATCAATTATCGTAATGTGTCCGACGTTAGCGATACATAAAATGCATTACCATTCTGTCGGCCTACTTTATAACGTGTGATCCTGTATAATTCGCTCTTCCTCTTCTTCTTCTGAATCAGTTTATGATTTAAACATAATAGCTGTATTAAACCAATATTTCTACTTGTCATTGTGTAGTGTTTACTGCAGTTGACCAAGTAGATCATGTAGTCTGAGCTGGTCTGATTAATAGGAGGCAGGGACATTTTCATATTCATGGATCGGCGTATACTAAATGAAGCAAGGGTGAAGAGTTACATTCTTTAAACAATTTTCAAATTTTTTTTAAGTTATAGATGATTCCACTTTTTCAAGTCAATTTAGTGCAACTAAAGGTATTAAGACTTACACAGCCAAGTTGATTGTACTTAAAGAATTAAAACTGCAGTTTTTCTTTACCTGGTTTGAAAATGTTCCAGTTTTAATATAAACAATCCAATTAACTTGATGCATGTCACCAAAGAAATCAAAGATATCATGGCTTGGTTCCGTTTGGTTTTGTAATAATAATAATCATATATTCATCAAATAACAATATTTTCAGAATGCATTGATTCAAATTGTTTAGAATCAGCATTAAATCTGTCAATTGTGAAAACAATGGATTTTATTGAGTTGAAGAGTATAAACGGTTTAAAGGAGTATAGTTCACTTTAAAAAAAAACCTTTGCTAATAATTTACTCACCCCCATGTCATCCACAATGGCCATGTCTTTCTTTCTTCGGTCAAAAAGAAATTAAGGTTTTTGATGAAAACATTCCAGGATTTTCTCCATGTAATGGACTTCAATGGGAACCAAACGGTTCAAGGTCCAAATGACCATTTCAGTGCAGCTTCAAATGGCTTTAAACGACACCAGACGACGAATAAGGACCATTTGGACCTTGAACCGTTTGGTTCCCATTGAAGTCCATTATATGGAGAAAATCCTGGAATGTTTTCATCAAAAACCTTAATTTTTTTTCAACTGAAGAAAGAAAGATGTGGATATCTTAGATGACATGGGGATGAGTAAATTATCAGCAAAAGTTTTTTCAAAAGTGAACTGCTTCTTTAAGTAGGCCTATGGCTGGCTATGGAACAAACAATATTCAATTAGTTAAAATGTATGGGATTTAAACAAATTGGTTAATTTATGACATATCTTAAACTGGTTATTGTAAATAAATAAAAAGTGAATTTCAAATACATAAATTGAAATTTTAGGCTGAAATATTTATCGAAAGAAAGATGTAAAAGAGAATTGAGACAGATCCTAAAACTGGGCACTGGACCATGTTACATCAAGTAACGATGTAATGGAAGTAACAGATCTTTTCTGTGAAAATATATGAAACTAATTATTTTTGTGGTGGCAGATCTGAATGCAAGCAGTAAATAGTATGAAAGAACAGAGTTTATGAGAAAGTAATGACTGGAAAAGTCTAGCATAGCATAGTCATCTGAGAGAAGTTTGTCATTTCTCTGTGTAATATCGACATTTTGATGAAAATTTACAAGGACATGTAAATAAATGAAACGTATGCATGGATGAATCATTCACAAGAGGATAGACAACTCACATTTAGGAAACAGATGGGATGAATTTCCATTGTATGTCCATTTAGTGCAACTTGTCTGGTAGGTTTTATGGTTTTTAACAGATTATTTCAACAGACCTGTCAGATTGACATTTCAGTGAATGCTCTATTCTATTGAAGCAAACATAACCCAGATATGCTTCATGCGTGCATCAAATATCTGAGATACCCGAACAGCCAAGTGTCTTTCAACTTTCACAAAAGACGTCTCTTCCGTGAGCACTCGACTCTAACCTGCAAATGCAGAAGTAGTTTCACCACTTCTCGCTTTCATCTCTGTTCTAGTAGTTCTCAGAACAATCTTGAAACGGATTGCAGCACTTTTGATGTTACCAGGTCCTTAGGATGAATCGCTCCTCATTTGTAAGTAGCATTGCATAAAAGAGTCTGTTAAATGATTAAAGATAAATGTCAGTGCGATAAGAGACTATTATTCACACAGTTTACGTATTAATGAGGCTCCGCTGGAACATTAAACAATAAGGTGTAATATTTGTCATAGCATTTGCTATATGTTGTCCATGACAGTAAAATATTCTTATGATATTGGGTTCTAAGTGACATTGTGATTTTGAACAATTTCTCAGTAGCTGAGTATCTAATTTAACGTCACTGGAATACATTTTTAATAGTCTGCACACCTAATTAGGCATGCAAAGACAAATGAATGACTCTCCATCTTGACATTTAAGTGGCTGTTTCAAATGCTTGCATAATCCCTTTGTAACTCACTCTACTCTTAAGGTCACTTTGTAGAACAGTCCTGTCAAGGGAATACTCTTCACAGAGCATGTGAATGGCCTGCCATTTAGCTGCCGTCCATTGGGATTATTTCGCCGTCTACACATCCCATTGCAGTTCATGTGCAGGAGACTATTGTACAGTAAGCGAATTTGGCCTGCTATGAATAGGAAAGGTTAGTCAGAGATTCACGGATGGGCATCCTGTAATGTTTCTGTTGTTCGAATACATATTCAACTTATTACCAATAACTGAGCATGCTGAAATTAGAGCGTTGAAATTGGCTGCCGATAGAGACAGACAAACAGGGAGCTAAAGATGAGACTTAAAAACAGGAGGCTTTGTCACCTCTGTTACCTTGACAACCTGCCTCAGACTCTGATATATAGACCAGTGCAAGTCGTTCATAGAGTTTTATGTCTGGACTTTGTCTGTGCTTATGTCTGGAAGTAATAATTATGACATTTTTATGACATTAAAATAGAAATATGTGGGTCAGATTGCAGATGCCTTAATCAACACACTAAATAATGTCTTGACAAATATTTAAGCATGCAGAAAGGATTTAGGGGGTAGAATATATCATTATCTTACTACGAAAACAATAGAAGTTAATGGAAAATGCCTAGACTATGTGTGTGTGTGCGTGCGCACTTGTCTTTAGGCAGTTCGCCAAAATAAAATTGCTTTATTACCAGTAGCTCAGCCAGGAGTATTTGATGGCTTAATTTTAAGTATACAAATAAAATGAATCAAATGCCAAACCCTTAATTAACTTCTTCAATTCCATGCACACCAACGCAGGCTTAATTATAGCTTTTAGAAATGGGAAGCATTATTATTATATTTTAATATTAACACATCGCCTGAGAAATGCTTTTGAATGATTCATAATTATTGCCCAATTAAATGTGCATTAGAGGGACTTGCCCTTTAAAAGTGTAATATAATTCTTAGAAATGAGAAGAAGAAGATTAAAATAACTCTTTATTAAATAAAACTGAAGAGAAAATGTATTGATTTTTATAACCGCATTGGGCTGTAATCAAACATGACAGTAGAGACATCTTGTCTTTTGTGAGTATTGATTTAGATGTTTTTTTTTATGTCCCCACAGTATGCTGTCAGAATTACGAAAACATGGTCCTGGAAAGGTTGTTACCTGGAGGGAACTAATCTAAAATCACCTGATTTAAACCAACACCAAATAACTGCAGAGGAGGCGGAACAATGCCAGACTCTCCACCAATTCCACCAGTTACTGCTCTGAACTGTTCCTTTGGCCTATCCAATTGCACTTTCGCTAACCTCTCCGCAATTTCCTATGGCGATGATGAGTGCTACGGCAGCCACTCTTTGTTTGTTATCATGGCTATCGCCTACAGTGCTGTTGTACTGTTGGGTGTTGTGGGCAACCTGGCTCTCATCCTCGTCATCGCAAGGCAGCGGGAACTTCACAACGTCACAAACGTCTTAATCGCAAACCTCTCCGTTTCGGACCTGCTGATGTCCCTGGTGTGTCTGCCGTTTACCTTCATCTACACCTTCATGGACCACTGGGTGTTTGGAGCGGTCATGTGTAAACTCAACAGCCTGGTCCAGTGCTGCTCCGTCTCGGTGTCCATCTTCTCCTTGGTTCTGATTGCCATTGAGAGGCACCAACTCATCCTGCACCCTCGGGGATGGAGGCCCAGCCTGAACCATGCCTGTCTGGGCATCAGCCTCACCTGGGCCCTGGCCGTCCTCACTGCCACACCATTTCTGTTGTTTTCCAGGGTGACGGACGCCCCGCTGAAGCAGCTGCCCTCAGTGTTTCAGGAGGAGTACAGGGGAAAGGTGGTGTGTGTGGAAGAGTGGCCCTCCAGAGAAATCAAACTCACCTACACCACTGGCATGCTGGTGCTGCAATACATCACTCCTCTCACCTTCATCTTCATCTGTTACCTGAAGGTAAGAACACAATGACGAGGAAGAAGGTTCTCAACTGGTTTGGCCTTGTGACCCACATTTTCCCATGGCCATTACCTAGATGCGAAACATTTTATTTTTTAGGAATTTGACCTAATCAAATCATTACCTACATGCAAATCCTTCCCAGCTAACACACAAAGTACCAATTACGAAATGTATTGGTACTTTTTTGGTAATTTCATGACTTGCTAATTGACAACATAAATAATTGACGTTGCACGCGCATAATTTCTTTTGCTCTTTATTTATAATGAAGTGATAAACAGCGCGCTGCGCGCACAGTATAATGGCTGGAAAGTTTGTTTTTATTTAAGGTGAGAGACTTTTTATTTCGTATTGAAGTTACGAAAATTACGTTAGAATAATGACATTGACATCTGACCGCAGTTACTGAATCAGGACTACTTGTTTTTCTCAGGCACTCTTTACTTAAACTGCAAATGACCAACCTGATCTCACGGCAATTTGTATGTATTTTATGAGGTGGCTAATTCGTACAAATTCGCATGAGTGAATTCGTACAATTTTTGATAAACCATACATATTTTACAAGTTGCCCTACCCTTGAACCCACTCCTAAACCTACCCGTCACTGGTGTTTCAGACTGATCTCATGAAATAGCGCGTGTATGACACGCCAATTCGTATTTCCATTTTTGGCGTGCTATCAAGACGCATAATCGCCTTTCAGCGTGTTTATGAACGGCGTTGACTTAACGTTATATAAATATATGGCTTACCTCAACCCCATCCCTAAACCTAACCGTCACTGGGGTTAATGGCATTTATGACTGTTCCCTTACCATCCTAGGTAAAAAAAAGATATGACTTACCTCAACCCCATGCCTAAACTTAACCGTCACTGGGGTTAATGGCATTTATGACTGGAGATTTGACTGCGTGTACAGACACGCGGAATGACGCGGACGTTAATGGCGTAGACATATACACATACACGCGGATACACGCGGATAGCTCAAAATGCGTAGAGATAACACGCCACCTGACTTGAAAGTCGCATATATGTTTACGCAAAAGTCATGATGTCATGTTGCGTGTTTAGACAAATCTTACGAATTGGTATGAGTGAGGTCATACGAATTAGCCACCTCGTAAAATACGTACAAATTGGTCGTCACAATAAAAGTCTTATATCAGAAACACATAGAATCGGCGTTTCTTTGCTTGCACACTTGTGATTCTTGTGACCCACTTTTGGGAAACACTCCACTCTAAAAAATGCTGGGTTGGTTAAACCCAATTTTGGGTAAAATATGGACAAACCCAAATGTGTGGTTAAAAATGTAATTTAAAAATTTAACCCAAAGGCTGGGTTTGTCCATATTTGACCCAAATTTGGGTTAAAACAACCAAGTATTTTTTAGAGTGTGGTCTAAATATTACACTCTAAAAATGCTGGTTTGTTTTAACCCAATTTTGGGAAAAATAAGGACAAACCCAGCCATTGGGTTAAAAATGTAATTTAAAAATGTAACCCAATGGCTGGGTTTGTCCATATTTTACCCAAAATTGGGTTAAAAACAACTCAACGTTTTTTAGAGTATATATATAGAGTTTTTTAAACCGTTTTTTTTTTTAAGTTTAGTTTTTTTTTTTTTTTACTTTACGTAATGTAATTTTTCTATAACTTTTTAACTTTCATTTTTTTAAGTGTTTTCACTTAGTCTGCTTACTGTCTTCTTTAAAAAGAGACCAACCTTATGTCTGGATTCCTAATTAAGTTGAACTATTTATTTAAGTTCACATCTAATACTTAGCAGGTTAAATGGACCTCTTATGCTGTTGCAAACCTATAGGCGTATGCATTTCTTTCTTCTACAGAACCAATCAAAAATATTTTGAAGAATGTTGGTAGGTAACCAAAAAAAAAGAAATGTATGAGTAGCTACAATACAATAAATATTTGAGTTAAACAGAGAATATTTCAGATGTAATGAAATTTTAGAAACATTGTCACTATCAGGTTGTTACAAACTCATTTGCTATTCTTTTCTTTTGACCTTGTGCTGAAGTAATTATTCACTGATCAAATTCACTATTTGGATATGCCACACATGACGCATGTTGGCCGTTAGCAACATGCCAGTAGTCCTTAAGTGTCTCTTAACCAGTGATGTAAACCCAGACGTCATCATAAGCAAAATATTTTATTTGAGAGCTGCTTGCAAGATTATCAGGGATTAATTTTCAGACATTTCGGCCTGTTTTCTCACAAAAAGCTATCAGAATCCTTAGACTAGAAGATATATAGTG